TGGCTGACTCATCTGCAAGCAGGTCTCGGGATCTAGAGCAGACTGAGTCTATTTTTACCATAGGGCAGAGTAAGAGGGGCACATCCTGTCAGGCCCAAGCAAGGTGAGAGCTGAGCAGAGCAGAAAAGGCAAGGGCTGAGGGCAAGCCTCGCCCACGGAGGCCTGAGGGCGGAAACCAAGAAACTGGAATCCTTTCAACAAGTGGAACACAACATCCACACTGGAATGAGACCGCACCCAACGGGCAGAATCCCCGCAGCCAAGGAACGGATGATGAAAGAGCGTTCAAGGCAATTGGGCAATTGCCTTGGACTTGATCTTATTAAAGTAGACAGATGCCACATGACCTTCCTATTTTTGAATATCCACCCCATATTCATTAAACAAATGCCAAGGGTAGGCCATCAGAGGTACCCTAAAACAGAAAAAAGGAGCTTACCGCTTCTGCTGTTACTGAAGGTGGGTAGGAAGACCCAATGACACCCTTTATGTTTTTCAGGAGAGATGCATGCTGGTCAGCTTTGACCTTGAGATGTGCATAAATTGCTACTAAATGAACAAGGTGATGGGCAGCAAGCATTCATTAAGAAGTTTTGCCAGTACTGTTGCACACTATGAATGTAGTTCCATCCCATAGTTATCCCAGAGGTAGGACAGGAAAAGTGAGTTGGTTGGCATATACAGAAAAAAATTGGCCATTAGTTGGTAGTTGTTGAAGCTGAGTGATGGGTACAGGGGGCTCCCTCCATGATTCTTTCTGCTTTTGTATTTTTCCCCAATGAAAAGTGAGAAGAAATTCAGGGGAATGACTCACCCAACCTGGTAGTTTTCCAGTCCCCACTTCCCTTGAGCCACACACCCACAGTCCCTCCCCTGGACCTTGACATCTGGAGCTGCTCCAGCCTCTTCAGCCCAAACACTCTCCTTCTCTTTGACCACACTGAGGCAGTGGCGTCACTAGAGGTGTAGGTGGTGTGGTCCAACCCAGGTGACACTGTCAGAGAGGTGACACAAAAATGACTGTCAATAAAATTTTTGTGCGGTGCTTCAGCAGAAATTTAGTATTTTTTATAAAATTATCCCTGCAGTTAGTTATAGGAGCCCTGGTGGTGCAGTGGTTAAGCGTTCGGCTGTTAACCAAAAGGTCAGCAGTTTGAACCCGCCAGCCATTCCTTGGAAACCCCCTGGGGCAGTTCTGCTCTGTCCTATAGGGTCACTATGAGTCAGAATTGACTTGACGGTAAAGGGTTTGGTTTGCTTTTTATTAGTTATAACAACAAAAACATTTCTCATAGCCCAGCTTACATATATCAATATATCTACAAGGCTAACACGCTATGCTTATTTACTTTTTGAACCTTCTAATGCGCCCTGGTCAGAGCTGTCATTATTACCCAGTTACAGTCATGCTTCGAATCACGTGGTTTCATCTGCGTGTACCACAAGCACGCGATGTTGTTTTTGTTGTTACCAGTGTTTTTAGAGTTCATAATTCTGTCAAATTTTCTGATGTTGTAGCTATAATGTTTGGTACTTAGTATTTGTGAACCTACATCAATAACTTCTTTGAGAATGAAGTAGTAATTCAAGGAAAAGAAGGAGAAAAATCAAAGCAGGCTCAGTTACTGATAATGTTGCAACTAATAGGGCTGTAACTCAATGTATAAAGATTTTACGAAACAATTTTGTGATTAGTGCTTATATAATCTAAGAAATATTATGTTTAAACAATCTACATCTATATTTATCACGTATTATTCTATGATTCAAGTTGATAATAAACATTACTAAGGATTCTATATGGTCTGGTATGGGAGGAGGTTCATGAGGGAGAGATGACACCGTGAGTTACCGCACTAGGTGACACCAACAATATTGATAGCACTGTATTGAGGCTTCGCATTGGAGAGCCTCTCCATTTCCTCCCAATCTCTCAGATACCTTTGGGCTTCACCTCCTCCCCACCCTGGCGTAGATCCCACCGTTCAACACTTCAGTCTGTCTCCATACCCCTCTTACACTCCCTTGCCGGCTTGTCCTTGCACTGCCTCTAACTGCAAAGTGTAAGCTTGAATCAGTCTGTTGTTGTTAGTTGCCGTCGAATCAGCTCTGACTCGTGGTGACCCCATGTACAACAGAACAAAATGCTGCCGGTCCTGCACCGTCTTCACAATCATTGGCATGCTCAAGTCCATTATTGCAGCCACTGTGTATTTTGAGTGCCTTCCAACCTAAGGGGCTCATCTTCAAATACTATGTCAGACAATATTCTGTTGTGATCCATAGGGTTTTTATTGGCTAATTTTTGGAATTATTAGCCAATAAATTGACACAGTGGCTGCAACAATGGGCTAAAAATAACAGCCATTGTGAGGATGGCACAGGATGGGGCAGCGTTTCGTTCTGTTGTACATAGGGTCGTTATGAGTCGGAACCAACTTGATGGCATCTAACAACAACAACAAATTTTTGGAAACCTGTCCACCATGGGTGACCCTGTTGGTATTTGAAATACCAGTGGCATAGCTTCCAGCATCACAGCAACACACAAGCCACCACAGTAGGGCACACTGACACACAGGGGGTGGTGAATCAGTCCAGTCACTGTTCTCTGTTCTTACACCAAACTGCAGCGAGTCACCTGGCACATGAGGACTGAAGTCATAGCACATTGTTTATGCCAACCCCAATGAAGCCCCAACACTCTAGAGCAATTCTTCAGTGTCTCCCTGCATCCCTCAATGGCTGTCCCAAAGCTTGCCCTTTCATTTCAATCCCCAACCCTGCCTCTTCCGTCTTAAAAAATGATGAGTTTTATACCAGGAAGAGCAAGGCCATCCGATGTGATCCTCTTCAACTTCCTCCACCTCAGATTGTAAACTTCTCTCCATCTGTACCCACTCTTTCCTCAATGCCTCTTGTTTTCTAGGGAGAGATACCTCAATTTATTGTTTTGGCAGACAGAAAAATGGCCCCCCAAAATTGCCCATGTCCTAACCCCCATAATCTGTAGAATATGTTACCTGACATTGAGAAAGTAGTTTTGTAGAAGTGGTTAAAGTAATTTTTTTTTTTTTTTTGAGATGGAGAGATTGTCCTGGATTAGCCAGATGGGCCCAATGTAATCACAAGATTCCTTCTAAGTGAGAGGCAGGTGAATCAAAATCAGAGGAGGAGATATATCAAGGGATGCAGAGGTCAGAGAGAGAGATTTCAAGATGCTACACAGTTGGTTTTGAAGATGGAGGAAAAGGCCACAAACCAAGAAATACAAAAAGCCTTGAGAAGCTGGAAAAGGCAAAGAAATGGATTCTCCCCTGGAGTCTTTAGAAGGAGCACAGGCCTACTGACACTTTGATCCTATCCCAGGGAAACTTAGACTTTCGGACTTTTGACCTCCGGAACTATAAGATAACAAATATGGGTTGTTTTAAGCCAGTAAGCTTGTGGTAATTTATTACACAAATTACAAATGTGTCTTGGAAGAAATACAGCCAGAATGCTCCTTAGAAGTGAGGATGGCAAAGCTTCATCTCACATACTTTGGACATGTTATCAGGAAGGATCAGTCCCTGGAGAAGGACATCGTGCTTGGTAAAGGAGAGGGTCAGCAAAAAAGAGGAAGAATGAGATTGATTGACACAGTGGCTGCAACAATGGGCTCAAACATAGCAAAAATTGTGAGGATGATGCAGGACCGGGCAGTATTTGTGTCGTACATGGGGTTGCTATGAGTCGGAGCTGACAACAACAACAACAATTTGTTACAGCAGCAATAGAAAACTAATACACTTGTGTTTTTAAAGCCACTCCTATCTCTTGAAGAAAGTTGAGCCACCATTTATCTCCCTCTCAGCTACCATCTTTATCATCTTTATTTCCTCTTATGTTTATTACCAGACTCTCTGAAAGCCGTATCAATACCCACCAAATCTACTTCTTTGTCACTACTGATTCTTCTACCCACTATCATCAGGACTCTCTCCCCTATCACCTCACTGGAGCCCTGGTGGTACAGAGGCTTAAGTGCTCGGCTGCTAGCCAAAAGGTCACCGATTCGAACCCACCAGCCACTCCACGGGAGAAAGATGTGGTAGTCTGCTTCCATTAGATTCACAGCCTGGAAAACCTAAGGGGCAGTTCTACTCTGTCCCATAGGGTGGCTTTGAGTCAAAATGCAGTGAGTCACAGTTAATGGTTTCATTACCTCCCCCAAATACTCCAAAATAACCAACGGCGTACATGTATCAATGACCTACAGATTACGAGCTACAAAAGACATTATCCCATCCTTATCTGACTTCTTAGTGGCAGTCAACACTGATGGGAAGCATTGGTGAGGCACCCAAGAACTCGGAGATAATCCTGAGAGTGCATCAAGTCAAATCCCCAGATAAGGGCTCCGGACAACGATCAGCAGCTTTGCACAAGAGATTTTGAAAAATGTTATGACTGAAATGTTCAGATGGCCAGTGAGTAATTCAAGGAGGCAGGACTAGATTCTAACTTTAAATTAGTTGTGGAAACCTGTGTTCTCAGAAAGACTGAATAAACAGAAAGGGCTGCTCAGCCTAGGAGAGAAAAAGGTCAGCCTGTGGAGCTACCTCTGGAGAGAACAGCAGGTCGATGGAAGCTCAAAGGAGACTTATTGCTATTGTTTGCATTTAAGAATGAGAATAAATTCATGTATTACATGTGTAATTAAAAATAAGTTCAAAAGGCATAAAATTTTAGAGGAAGAAGTCAGATACCAAGAGTATAACCTGTAGAGATCCAGTTACGTGAAGTCAAAAGAAGCAAAACTAATCAATTGTGAAATAGCTCGGAACATCCTGACCTCCGGACTGTACAGATGGAGTCGGGGGCATGAGAAAGCCTTCAGGGTGCTGAAAACGTTTTCTCTCTTGCAGGGAGCAGGGTCGTTACACAGGTATATGTATATGCATATGTGTGTGTGTATATATATACATAGTATACATATCTATATGGTGGTGCAAGTGATTTGCGATCAGCTGCTAACTGAAAGGTTGGCAGTTCGAACCCACCCAGCAACTCCATGGAAGAAAGGCCTGGCAATCTACTTCTGAAAAAATCAGCCATTGAAAACCCTATGGAGCATAGTTCTACTCTGACACATATGGGGTCACCCCGAGTCAAAGTTGACTCGATGGCAACTGGTAACAAGTTGCTCACAGAGGGCGGTATGCTGCTCTCCCCATGTGCTGCCTGCGCACTGCTGATTAGAAATTATCGTTCTGTCCTGATGGTTTCCATCTCCATAAACTCAATTACTAGCTGTTAGTACTCCTGGCTCCAGAAGATTCAGACACTTTCAGAGTGCCAACAAAATCTGCTAGTTTTCTTACTCTACGAGGTTTCCCTGGTGAGACCTGCCAGCAGCCGCCAAGTCAGCTGTCCCCTGACAAAGTCCCTTTGGCTGTGCTCCTCCAAGACTGTATGATGGGAGGGAGGGGTGAATTTAGGATGCTTCTCAGGATTCTCAAACCTACGCCCTCTGCACTCTCCTTTTGCCACGACTTTAACTGAGGTATCAGTATTTCTCATCTTGGTCATTACTGTCTTCTCCTAACTAGCACCTCTGCTTCCCATCCGCCCCACTTCCCTTCCATCGGCCATGCAGAGACTACACCTGTTTGGACTTCTTCAGTGGTTACCTTGTGCTCCCGTGCTCAAATTCAAACCACTATACCTCGCTGAGGTAACCGCTTCATCTGCAGCTGCTCCGCCCCAACCCCCATGACTTGCAAACATTCACTTCATCCGGTATTGCTCAATGGTGACATCACTGACATTTTAGATGGGACAATTCTTCACTGAGTAGGGCTAGTCTGCACGTTCTAGTAGGTGTAGCATCTCTGGTTCCTGTCCACTGAATGCCTGCTGTACTCCACCCTCCGAGGTTGTGACAACTCATACACGCCCCTAGATATTTCCAAACACCCTTGCTTCCCCTTTCCCAGCTGGTTAGCTCCTACTGGTCCTTCATCACTCAGCTCAAGGATTAGGTTGAGCCACATGAAATCACCATTTTCATGGTGCAAAGCCTTGAATATTGGCTATTTCATATGCTTCAACCTAGTCTTCCTTCCTTCTGGAAGCCCCTACTAACAATGACCTATAACACCCTGTGACTCTCTGTCAAAGTGCTTACCACCACGTGTTGTAAGAGTTGTTTCACTTATTGCCCACTTCCTCTTGCAACATTGCTCAGCCCTAATTACCTGGGAGCAAGGACCAAGTCACATTATCTCTCTAGCACTTGGCAAGGTGTCTGGCACCAGACAGGTACTAACCCTACGTCTGATGAATAAACAGGACTGTGAGCATACTTTCCCTGATGACTCAATGTTATGCATATTATTCCTGGGCATAGAATGCCTTCAGGGCTAGTGGTGGAGACACTTACAGCTTCTTGACACCAAATGAGCCACCACTGCCCAGCTTGATGGATTTGTGCATCTGGGTTTTATGCCGTATCTTCAGCCTACCTGCTTCTAGTGATCCTTGTCATTCTTTGGAATTTGAGACGAACTTTCCAGAGGGCTATGTCAAGGCACTCCATGAGTTTTGGGGCATGGATGTTGGGACTGTAACTGCATTGGTTCAGGATCCTTTCATCTTATTTCTGGGTTCTTGCTAGGTTTCACATGTTTGCAGTCTCCCCTTTGGTTAGTGAGACAGTTTCTAAGAAAACTTTGAGTAGTCATTTTCTTTCTGGAAACTTCTCAAAGATATGACGCAGGAGGATGTTAAAGTGAAGAAATGTTCCTATGATGAGCTTCTCATTCCTAAGACCCTGCTGGTGAAAGAAAGATGAACTAAATTTCTCAAGATATTTTCTAAATAGTTGTTGCATCTCTGTAGTCAAAAAGTATATGGGCATACATTTTTAGTAAAACAAAAAAGTTTTATATCAACAAACACTGGATGAAGGATCTCAGCTATACAATCTTTCTAATTTTTGGTTTAGAGACTTTGAATCAAAAGGCCTTTCCATTATAATTCCTATAGAATGAAGTCCAGGACCATGAGGAACAGAGATAAGTGAGGTACCAACCAAAAGTAAATGAGGAATACAGCTAATGTTCACATTTAATATGTCTTTAAAAGTTTTTGTAATACACATTTTAATAAATGCCACGTAACTCAATCAACAATTTTTTGGTTATTTCTTTTATTTTCAAGATTTCTTCTTTTTATTGCCATTATTCTCTTTCATAAGGTAATTACAACAACTTAGGAAACAAATTACACACAGAAAGGTTTAAATAGTTTTTTTTTAAATTTTTAATAGCCTGCTGGTTGTAAGAAAGCCATTATCATTTCATTCCCCCCAACATAATTTTATACCTTGTGCTAAACCAAATAGCTTATAGAAAAAGTTTAGTATTAAATAAACACAGAAAACCTACATCTATAAATAACTTAACATACAATAGAGTTGGACGTCAACATGCTGCTTAAAAAAGCAAACCTAACAGGTTCTAAACCTATGATGCAATATGAATCAACTTCATTAATTGGACAAGTCCAGTGAGGCACAAATTAGATACGTGATAAACTCTCAACCATGTGCAAGTGAAAACACCAGTCCCAGCCTGGTTCTTTTTCTTCTTGGGCTGTGTCCAATTCCAATCAAAGAGCATCCACTTTTACATCTTCCTGACTCGATGACTATAAAGGAAAGAGGAAGAAAAGAATAAACAAAGGTGTGGGGACCGGCTGCCTTTGGTACCTAAAGGTGCTTTCCACACCCTTAACCTTATCTCAGGAAGCCAAGGGCTCAGAGTGCATCCAGATGAGGAAATTGAGGTTCAGAGAGCATGGACTTTGTCCAGCATAATTCAGCCAGTGATGACAGAAACTGGATAAGAACACTCGTCTTGTGCCTCCAAGCTCAGTGTGGACACACCAGCATTAAGTGGCTTCTGTCCATTGACAAAATGTTACTCTCCGGTATAATCAATGTAATTCAGAACCATCGCTCTTCTCAACTAATGGTTACTTTTCAGTTTTTAACAAACAACCAAATGTCAATCTGTAAATTATATAAATAGGAGGCATCTTTGCAACAAAAAGCAACAAGTTAGTGACTATCAAATGCATACCAAAAAAAAAAAAAACACCAAACTGGTTGATGTGGATCTGACTCCAACTCACGGCAACCCCATGTGTCACAGAGTAGAACTGTGCTCCATAGCAGAACTTTTTGGAAGCAGATTGCCAGACCTTTCTTTCTAGGCAGCCCTGGATGGGTTTGAACTGCCAACCTCTCTGTTAATAGTCAAGCACTTAACCATTTGGATTACCCCAATGAGGCATATCAAATGCATAGGGGAATTTAATACATCATGTGAACAATCACTAAATTAAAAAAAAATTAAAATAATGTAGAAGTGGGGAAAAAATGCATTCATTATTTTCACAATCCAACCCAAATTTCCCCTGAAAAAATTCCACAATGTTTAGACTAAAGAACCCCAGTGAGCGTATGATCCACAGTTTGTTGCCTTGCTCTTGCCACAGATATATGTAGAAAAGCTTATTGGTTGTGAATGTTCCATACCTCAGGATTCGTACTGCTTGTTTCACCCACTTCTTCTTTGGATCTGCACACACAGCTAATCTTTTCTTGGTGTGAAAGCTGAAAAAGTCAGAAAATTTGAAAATTTTAAGTATTATTTTTCACAGAACGTGCAATGGAAACTTCATATTCCAATTGATTTCTCAACACGCTTTTAACATATAAGCTAAAGTGTTGAAATAAAATGAAAAAAAAAAAAAAAGCGCCTCTGATAAAGTTTGGTGCAAGAAATGAAAGTGATTCTCCCAGACTTTTTCTGCAATTTAACAAATAGTTACAAAATAATAGGGATATAGTCCCAGATGGCTATTATGATTAATTTTATGATTTTATTTTGTTTTGCTGCTAGTGGTTACATGGAATATGTATGTACCTGACCAATATTTTATATCATTCCAAAGTATAATATCATGTAGAAATCAAGAATATTACAGATGAATGTAAAACTTAGTCTGAGATTTTACTTACGGCCCCAACCATTTTCTGGCAAAAAAATACTCATTTTGAAATTCATGTCTCAAAATAATTTTACTTGCATATTTTCCTAAGATAGTATATTAATAGCCTACGATTTCATCTTAGAAAGTGGTTTTGCCCTGTATTATGTTACTTTTTTCACGTTTCTGTCCTGATTCCAGTCCTATTTAAAATAAGCTTTGAAGTAGATACGTACTACTAAAGCAAGTATCTCTGCTGCTTCAGTTATTTCTGAATGAAACTCCAAAAAGGCCAATTTTTTAACAGCTGAAATTTTCATGTGCTCCTGATACCACTGAATTAAAGTCAATTAGTAACTTACATGACAGCATCGATGTCGCAGGCTTCACTGGCCAGTTGCTGCATGAAGCCCACAATAAATTTGGGATGAATGATGTGGTCTGTATATCGGAGGCAACAGTCAAAGTTGCTTGCTGCTGAAAGAAGAGTAAGAAGAATTGAGTCCACGTGAATTAACATATTCCATGATAGGTATTATGGAACTGCAAGAAGTTATAGAAAATCCAGTGAATTTGATTTATACAGTGATTAAACTATTTATTAGAAGAGTTTCAGTATCTTTGAAACCTGTATGTTTTTCAAGAGATCTAATTTAACATAGTTTCCAATTAAGAAATAGTTCGTGTGCTGGGAAATTCTGGTTCAATAATACAGTTTAGAAACACATGGCTTCTTAGAAGCAAAATATCTTTGGTAAGAAACACAAATTGACAGGGTTTTATTTTAGTTCAGGAGCCCTGGTGGCACAGTGGTAAATGTTCGGCTGCTCACCAGAAGGCTGGCAGTTTGGATCCACCAGCCGCTCCTTGGAAACCCGATAGGGCAGTTCTACTCTGTGCTATGGGGTCACTGTGAGTCAGAATCGCCTTGATGGCAATGGGTTTGCGTTTATGAATTTATAATTACTCAAGAGTATGGGTGCCTCCCCCCGCCGCTACTTTAAGAAATTCTAATAGATAACCTTCCAAATTCAGAAAATAAATACATTGGGAGCTCTAAATTTATTATCTGGTCGCTGAGTATTGGGAACTGGGGAAGGACAAGAAGCTACAAAGGAAAATATGATTTATACGAGCTACCATCAGCTAAAGCACTTTGAAACTGTAATGTTAATTAATGGGAATTTTTATTTTGTTCATAAAAGTTCAACATGCACATTTTCAGGAAGGCACCTATTGCTAAAAGCGATGTATTCTTACAGTAATAAAAGCAACACTTGGACACTCCCCTGAGTTAAATCACAACCTGCTGTAAAGTAAGGGATAAATATTATCTCAGAGTTGGCAAGCGATACCCACAAGGCTTTGCAGAGGATGATGAAGTCGGGTGCCCTAACCTGCTCCACAATGGATGAGTTTTGAACTTTATGAAAGCTATTTTAGTTGGGAGGTGAGAAAGTAGGGGAAGTGACGTATTCTCTCCACTTCAGAATGAACCCAATTGCTGGTAATTTTACACTATTTGTATCACTCCCAGGAAGAGCCCTTTGTCCTATATCTCAAGAGTTTCTACGAGCCAGTCATCCCCAGAATCTGCTGTGATTGACAGCAAACAGGAGAGCCTGGCCAGCAGCAGTAACCCTTCCCTTCTCCAATGGTCAGCAATGAGCTGACAACCCCCACCAATCACTCTCTTTCATAGACTTTCTAATAGGCATGCATCTCATCCTTGGGGTCCCCCACCCCTAGATAACCTCAAGGCTTTGAAGAAAATGAAAACAGTTCTTCCTCTGGTGCTAACAGAAAGAGTAACTGACACTTACCTTCTGACCTGCTGCAGAGGTGGAGTAGCAACACTGCCGTCACAGCACCCAGGAACAGACTCTTGCCACTGCACATCATGTTTAGCTCAAAGACAGATCTGCCCAGTACTGGTACTCAGTGTCCTGAGAGTACTGTTATATTCCAACAGCAGCTCGGACGGCCCTACTTATAGCAGATAATGGGAATTTACAGAAGAGGCGTGTTCTCACCTGGGGTTTTCCCCATTTATCAACGTGCCACATCATGTCATCACAAAGAAAAACACACTAGGAAAACTTCTTGCTTTTCCCTAGCGTTGGGAAATTGTGAAAGTCAGCGGGGGCAAGAAGGAGAGGGGACAATCCTATTGAATCCTTTGGTTTGCAAAGAAGGAAGAGCAGCTCAGCCCTCTGGCCCGGAAAAAAACTTCTATCTTGCTTTAACTTAATCTCTTTTGTCTTTGAAAACACAGGACAAGGATTAGCAGTGGTACAAAGGTAAGCCCCACACAGGAACATTTCAGCTCTCCTATTGTGACACCTTATCTGCTTTCCATAGCCCGTCAGGGAGGGGGGAAACGAGGTTGGGATGACAGTCACTCTCTGGCACGCATTGACAATTGCACAGTTGATGCCCATTTGTCTACACTAACACTCAGAGCAGGTAATATAACAATGGTTGTATTGATGTCCCCAATTATGGTGGAAAAATACTAGCCCTTAGGTAAGACTCAAGCCTCAGCTTCATCTTAATTTGGTGTCAACTGTTGTAGAGTCTTATAAAGTGACATGGCTCTAATCTCTATTGCAGCCCAGGAAACAATGCCCACCTGCCTTTAACTCTTTATGCTGGTGTTGTTGTTGTTGTTGTTAGGTGCTGTTGAGTCAGTTTCAACTCATAGCAAGCCTGTGTACAACAGAACAAAACACTGCCCAGTCCTGTGCCATCCTCACAATCGTTACTGTGTTTGAGCCCATTGTTGTAGCCACTGGGTCAATTCATCTCATTGAGGGTCTTCGTCTTTTTTTTTTTTTTTTAAATGTACTTCAGGCGAAGGCTTACAGAACAAATAGTTTCTCATGAAACAGTAGTACACATGTTGTTTTATGACATTGGTTAACAACCCCAAAACATATCAACCCTCTAACTTCTCAACCTTTTTTTTGGTGAAAATACACATAGCCAAAGATACACCGTTTCAAAAATTTCTACATGCACAGTTCAGTGACATTGACTACGCTCTTTCAATTGTGCTGTTATTCTCACTTAAGATGAAGGCTTACAGAACAAAATAGTTTCTCATTTAACAGTTACTACAAATGTTGCCCTATGACAATGGTTAACAATCTCACAACACATCAACAACATCCTTACTCAACCTTGTGTTCCCTATCAGCAGCTTCCTTGTCCCCTTCTGCCTTCTGGCCCTTGTCGTTGGACTCCTGTACCTCGTTAGTCTCATTTGGTTTTACGGGGCTGTCCGCTCCCAGGCTGAACGGTGAACCTCGGAGGTAACTTCACCACTGAGCTAAAAGGGTGTCTGGGGGCCATACCCTCAAGGTTTCTCCAGTCTCCTTTAGGCCAGTAAATCTGGTCTTTTTTTTGTGAGATAGAATTATGCTCTACATCCTTCTCCAGCTCTGTCCAGAACCCTCTGTTGTGATCCTGGTCAGAGCAGTCAGTGGTGGTAGCCGGGCACCATCTAGCTGTACTGGACTCAGTCCGGTGGAGGCCTTGGTAGCTGTGGACAATTAGTCGTTCGGACTAATCTTTTCCTTGTATCCTGTTCTCTTCATTCTCCCTTGCTCCGGAAGGGATGAGACCAGTGGAGTACCTTAGATGGCCGCTCACAGGCTTTTAGGGTCTTCCTCTTTTTTGCTGTTATGGATGTTTGTAGCTGTTTCTTCTCATTTTGAGGCATGCCACATCAGCAAATGAAGGTCCCAAAAGCTTTATACCATCCACATCATTAAGGTTGACTTTTCTTTGAGGAGGTGTCTCTTTCCCTGATATAGTTACATAATTCAATACAGAGCCTCAGAGAGGGGGAAGGAATAAAAAAGGAGAAGAAAAAAGCATATCAGCAGTGGTTAATCAGCAATATAAAATCTCAAACAAGAGTGATAATGATAATAATTTAATATGAATCGCATACCTAAGGTAGTGTAATAAGAATTGTCCACTAGATACCAATAGATTGGAAGTAAAAAGATGGACAAAATATATATCATGCAAACGGGAAACAAAAGATAACTGGAGTTGCTATGCTAATATCAGACAAAACAGATTTTAAAACAAAATAATGTCACTAGAGATACAGAAGGACATTCATAATGATAAAAGGACCTATCCATCAGAAAGATATACAAATCTTTTTATACACATATACACCTAAAAGCAGCCCTCCCAAAATGCATGAAGCAAACACTGACAAAATCGAAAGGATGAATAGATAGTTCAACAATAAAAGTTGGAGATTACAATAATGAATAGAATAACTAGACAGAAGATCCACAAGAAAATGGAGAACTTGAACAACACTACAAACCAACTAGACCTAGCAAACATCTCTAAAACATTTCACCCAACAAGAGAATAGACATTCTTCTCAAGTGCAAATGAAACATTTTCCAGGATAGACCATATACTACACCATACAAAAACAAGTCTCATTAAATTTGAAAGAATTGAAATCACACAATGTATGCTCTCCAACAACAATTAAATTAACTTAGAAATCAATAACAAAAGGAAATTTGGGAAATTCACAGATATGTGGGAAATAAGCAACACATTCCTAAATAACCAACAGGTCAAAGAAGAAATCACAAGGGAATTTAGAAAATACTTAGAGATGAATAAAAACAAAAACACAATATACCAAAACTTAAGGGATGCAAGAAAAGCAGTGCTCAGAAGGAAATTTAAAACAGTATACACCTGTATTTAAAAAGAAGATCTCAAATCAATAGCCTAACTTTCCAACTTAGGAAACTAGAAAATGAAGAGAAAACTAAACCTAAATATAGCAGAAGAAAGGAAATACTAATGATTAGAGCGGAGATAAATAAATAGAATCTAGAAAGCAATAGGGAAAATCAACAAAACCAGAAGTCGGTTCTTTGAAAAGATCAACAAAATTGACAAACTTTGGCTAAGAAAAAACTCCAATTTAAAAAAATCAGACTACTAACCTTACAGAAATAAAAAGCATGGTAAAGAATACCAGAAACAAATGTATGCCAACAAAATAGATAACCCAGATGAAATGGGCAAATTCCCAGAAACACACAGACTACCAAAACTGATTCAAGAAGAAATAGAAAATCTCAACAGATCTATCACAAGCACAAAAGTCCATATAGTGTGTCATTTCATTTCTATGAAACATTCAGCGTTGTCAAATCTACAGGGACAGGACGTAGAATAGTGCTTGCTTAGGGCTGGGTTGGGGTGCAGGGAGAAGAAGTGGGTGAGCAATGGGGAGTGACTCCTAATGGTTATGTGGTTTAAGGGGGACAAAAAAGCTATCCAATAGATAATGATGATGATTGAACAACCTTGTAAATATACTAAACCACATTGAATTGTGCACCTTAAATTAGTGAATTGTATGGTATGTGAACTATATCTCAACAAAACTATTAACCAAAAAAAAAAAAAAAATTCTCCACCTACCTACGTCTAACACTCACCCCAGAGCACAGATCCTATCTTTCTTTCTCTGTTTCTACTTTTGGCCACTTGCAATCTGTGTTCATTTTTCCTTTTTCCTCCATTCCTGTCTTCTTTGGTTTTTCTGGGTCCCTTGCAATTCCTCTTCTCCCCTTCTCATCTCTTAATCACATCTTTCATTTCTTCACCCTTTAATAGCCATGAAAGAGAGCTGATATTTTGGTACTTTTTTAATATTGATGGAAATTGTATTTTCCTATGCTTAGATCCTCAACAAGATGGATTGACACAGTGGCTGCAACAATGGGCTCAAGCATAACAACGATAATGTGGATAGCGCAGAACTGGGCAGTGTTTCATTCTGTTGTACATAGGGCACCTAATAACAACAACTTGCTTAGTTTGCTAGATGGGTTATTTCATGTTTGTCACTTAAAAACTTTAAAAAATGTGACCCTCAACTGATTTTTTTTTTTAGTCAGTCAGTAAATGTACTAATGAGCAGGTTAATGTATAATAAATTATTTGAAGCCTAATTTATTAGAAGGCTATTTATTGCACTGGGATTTATTTTCTAGCCATTCTTTTCAAATATCTCAGACACATTCCTGTTGTTACTATGTGCCATCGAATTGATTCCAACTCATAGGGACCTTTATAAGATTACAGTAGAACTGCCCCATAGGGTTTCCTAGACTGTAATCTTTATGGGAGTAGATCAACAGGTCTTTTCTCCCACAGAGCAGCTGGTGAGTTCAAACCACAGACTTTCTGGTTAGCAGCTGACTGCTCTACCATTGCACTTCTGGGGATCCTTCATAATGTCAAGCTCAAACATTCCTAACTCCCTCCTGACTCACCAAAGAGGTAACAACTTTAAATCTCTTATCTATCAATTTCTCTCACCTTTAAAAAAATAAGTAATTATCAGCAAGCATAATGGAAAAGAAATGTATGGACTTATTTGGATTCAAATCTTAACTCTATCCCTGGCTCTGTGACTTTGAACAAGTAATTTAAAGTAAATCTCAGATCCTCTTCTCATAAATAGGGATAATAAAACACTCACAGCGCACTGTAGGTTTTCACCAAGTCTTACTCTCTTCTTCCCTTCCACCTTTCCTGTTCAATCTCAGGCATAACTCATTTCTTATGTTTACTTTTAACTATATAAAACAGTATTGCCTTTCAATGATTTTAAAACAACTAACTTTGGCTTCCAATGACGTCTCAGAAATAGCATTCCAGTAACTACTAGAATCTTTCCCTGCCTTCTTCAGAACAAACGTGGCCAGAAGATTATATACTATGCTTTCTATTTATGGGTATAACTTATTTGCATGCTGAAACATGATGTTAACTCATGAAATTGTATCTGTATTTTTTCTATTTCTTTACCTGTAATACAGTGATGACACTGGTCAATATTTACTTGTTTTCTGTCTCTAAAAATGCATCCTTTTTGCC